CCTGAGTTTGAAAGAGAATCACCAATGGAAACTCATGGATGAAGTACCTACAGAATTCACCAATAGTTCTCTCTTCCCTGTGTGTGAGGGACACACACACACACACACACACACACACACACACACACACACACACGACAGACCTTTCGAAGGGAATCACATTAAGGAGAAGGGAGTTGGGGTAGCATCTGCTCAGTACTATTCAGCAAAACCCAGCCTTCCTGGGGCCCTGTGCAGAACCCTTTCTGTGGAGGTGTTATATCTAGCTTGCTCAGATTTTTTTGTCTTCAGGAAGTCAAGTCTAAAAGCAGAGAACTGGAGATGAGCTGACCAAATTCAGTAGAGTCTTTATTTGAGAAAATGAAAAGAAGATTTGAGAAGCTGGGGCCTGGGATATCCTTAAGTAAAACCTCTTTGTATATGCTTTTGACTTTTAAGAATGAGTGAGCACTGCATTGAGCTTTAGGCACGTAAGGTGGAAAGATCAAAGGGGCAGGGGAAGAGCAGGATATGTAAATGAATATCTGTGCACAATAAATTTGCATTGGACTTCAGTTTTCATAATCTTCTCTTGAACCAGAAGATCTTGTCTTTTATTTCCTTGTTAGTCTTGTTGATACAAACTGAGAAGGCAACGTTAGCTCCTGTCCCATTGTTTCCTCTGATTCTACTGCTGATAGATCCCTTGTGGTCTTCTTTTGCATCTCATCCTGGTAGAACTCCCTAGAACTGCAGTTACCACTTTAATATGCGCTGGAAATAAGTTCCCAAGTGCGAACCTGCTTTCAGGTTCTTCTCCTTTCCACTGTAACCCTGTACTTCCATCAGAATATATATCATGGTTTCTCCCGGGTGTGATATTATTATGCCTTTGTCCTGTTCAAAACCATTGAATGCTCTTTGTTGTTTATGAAAAGGAGACTAAACTCCATAGCATGTTTGAGAAGTTTGAATGACCTCATTCTTGCCCATTTTTCAGGTTCACCTCAAGTTTCATCTTTGCCCTTCTCTGCTTTATAATCCAACTGTAACAAGTTTGCATCACATTAATGTCATTAATGTCACATTAATATATCATGCTAAACTTGCAAACAATTGTGTTTCTTATTTTGGAGTTTTGGAGCCACACTCAGGGCTAACTTCTGGCTTTGCACTAAGGAAGTATTCCTGGTGGGTTTGGAGGACCATATGGGTTGCCTGGGATTGAACCCAGGTCGGCTATGCGCAAGGCAAGCGCCCTTCCCACCCACTGTTCTGGCCACAACTGTTTTTTTTTCCTTTATAAATTTGCTCCCTGCAAAATTACACTTATCAGCTAACTTTTGCTTTAGTGAAAACTCTTTTATTTACTTATTTAGTTAGTTTTTTAGTTTCTTGGGACTGTCCAGCCTGTGTAGTTATCTTGCAGGAGAATTGTCCTGTGTTTGTGTTCACTTAGCATTTTATTTCTCCTTCCATTACAGAAATTAACACATTGCTTTGAAAAAAATAGTCATACCCATCTTTTTCACTGTATTACCAGTTCCTTGGATCAGGATCTGTTATATAGTCTGCAGCACTTCCTTCGCCAATTTGTTCATTTCTTTCTTTGAAGAAATGTGTTTTACTGGGTGGGCACACCCAACAGTGCTCTGGGGTTAATTTATGGCTCTGTCCTCAGGGATGACACTGGGCAGTCACTCAAGGGATCATATGTGGTACCAGAATCTAACAGTATTTGTCATATAGGTATACACATTGGGAACAAACTTAGTGTGTTCATGGGTTTATATTATACTCAAATGTTCTGAGCTCAGTGGGGGTTGATTTCTAGGAATCAATTATAGTTCTCCAGATTTCTATTTCAACTTTAGCTGAAAGGGAGCGATAGCACAGCGGGTAGGGCGTTTGCCTTACAAGCGGCCAACATGGCCGACCCGAGTTCGATTCCTCCGCCCCTCTCGGAGAGCCCGGCAAGCTACCAAGAGTATTCGATATGCCAGACACAGTAACAACAAAGTCTCCAATGGAGACGTTACTGGGCCCGCTCGAGCAAATCGACGATCAACGGGAGGGCCTTTACCTTTTCAAAGTTTATATAGTGTTTAATGAGTATCATCTTGTGAGCAATAAAATTATAGCTTTTCCTCACAACATCTGTTCTACAATAAGCTCTTGGTACTCAGATCAGTTGGAGGAATAAAATTCACCTTTTCTTTGAAAGGTATTAGACTCTGTGCTTTCTCTTTATTTTTTCACTGGAAAGCTGTTTTACTTTTCTCTTGCTAAGTCCCACCAATGGATAGCCATTGAAAACAACGTGAATCTTGGATTTTGCAGCTTCTGTGACTGAGTCCAGACACAGCATCAATGGTTTCTGCACAGGCTCCTCACCCGCCCAGAGTCCCCAAGTCAGCCAGCCAAAGAAGTGACTTTCCAACTCATTCCAGTTCTTTTTTTTTTCAAAAAATATTTTATTAGTGAGACACCATGAGGTACAGTTGTAGATTTACAAATTTTTGTGCTTGGGTTTCAATTATACAATGATCAAATACCCATCCCTCCACCAGTGCCCATTTCCCACCACCACGGATCCCAGTATCCCTCCCACCCCCCATCCTCCCCCATCCCACCCTACCTCTGTGGCAGGGCATTCCCTTTTGTTCTCTCTCTCCTTTTGGGTGTTGTGGTTTGCAAAAGAGACAATGAGTAGCAATCATGTTTGGTCTATAGTCTACTTTCAACATACTTCTCCCATCCTGGGAGGATCCTCCCAACACCCTTTATTTGGTGCTCCCTTCTCTATCTGAGCTCCCTTTTCCCCTAGCATGTGTGGCTGTCCTCCAAGCCATGGAGCAAAATTCCTGGTATGAATCTTGGCCATTCTGGGTGCTAGTCTCCTATTTTGTTACTTTATGTTCCCCAGATGAATGCAATCTTTCTATGTCTATCCCTCTCTTTCGGACTCATTTCACTTAACATGATACTTTCCATGTAGTACCACTTGTATGTAAATTTCATGACTTCCTCTTTTCTAACAGCTACATAGTACTCCATTGTGTAAATGTACCAAAGTTTCTTTAACCAGTCATCTGTTCTCATTCTGGTTCTTGTGGAAGGCATTCCCCTGGGAGTATAGGACTGGTAACTTCAGGCTGCATCTGGAGGCTTCCTTCTCTCCTGGAGAAGCCTGCCATTCCCTGCCTGGAGCCCTGTCCGAGAAGTGCAGCCCAGGGCTATTTGCTTCTCCAAGGCAGGTGGAGATTTATTTCTCTCTCCCATTAGCTCAGCTTCATGCTGCATAACGGGATGCAGGAGCCTGAAGCTCCATCTATAATATCTATAATAATGCCTACAAGAGGAGAGAGGGAGAGGGAGGGAGAGGGAGAAAGAGGGAGCGCCTGTATAAGCTGGAGGGGAGTGGTAGGAGGAAACTGGGGTCATTGGTGGTAGGAAATGGACACTAGTGAAGGGGCGGGTGTTGGAACATGGTGTGACTGAAACCGGATCATGAACAGCTTTGTAACTGTGTATCTCATGGTGATTCAATAAAACATAAATTATTGCATTGGGGTCACTGTCCTACTCGCTGCTTTGGGATAGGTCCCGGCGTGGTCTCCTGTTGGCTGCTGGACCTTGCTGTGTGGCTGGACTGCTCTCCAGTTCCCTGTGCGCTTGCTTGTCTCCTTGCTTGTCTGTCTTCCCCTTGAGATTGCTCATGGGAGAGAACAGTCCTGCTCCTCTCTCTGTATCCCTTTGCATCTAATGTGAAGTGGGGTACATTGTCCCTGTGAACTTTCTTTTTTTTAAAATAAGTTTTATTGGGCTGGAGCGCTAGCACAGCAGTAGGGCGTTTGCCTTGCACACAGCCAAGACGGCCGACCCGAATTCGATTCCTCTGCCCCTCTCGGAGAGCTTGGCAAGTTATCGAGATTATCTCGCATGGACGGCAGAGCCTGGCAAGCTGCCCATGACGTATTCGATATGCCAAACACAGTAACAAAGTCTCCAATGGAGACGTTACTGGGCCTGCGCGAGCAAATCGATGAACAACGGGAGGACAGTGACAGACAGTGACAGAAGTTTTATTGGATCACTGTGAGATAGTTACAAGCTTGCATGGTTGCATTTCAGTCACGCAATGCTCGAGCACCCACCCCTCCACCAGTGCACATTTTCCACCACCATTTTTCCCAGTGTCCCACCCGCCACCCACACCCCATCCCACCCCCTGCCTCTGTGGCAGCTACCATCCTTCTTACTCTTTCTCTAATTTGTGGCTTTATGATTTGCACTATACTAAGAGGTCATCCTGTTTGGTCTTTTCAGCGCACATCTCCCATCCTGGGGGATCCCTCCATAATCATTTACTTAGTGGTTCCTTCTCCTTCCCAACTGCCTTTTCTTCCAGCACATGGGGCCAGCTTCCAAACTGTGGTGCAATCCTCCTGGCCCTTATCTCTACTGTCCTTAGGTGTTAGTCTCATATTATGTTACTTTATATTCCACAAATGAGTGCAGTTATTCTAGGTCTGTCCCTCTTTTTCTGGTCCCTGTGAACTTTCTATCCAAAAGTACCCCCCAAACTAGAGCTTTATAGAGGGGTGGTTGGTGAACTTTTAGTAAATGAGGTAAATATAGGGTTAACATATTGTAACTGTTAAAGGATTTGGTGATTATTTTATTTGTTAGTTTGCATGCAATACCTGGTGGTGCTCTGGAGCTACTCTCAGCTTTGTGCTCAGGGATTGTCCCTGGCAGTATTCAGGGGACCACATGGTACCTAGACTCAGAACAAATCTAGGTCTATCTCTTTGGTCCCTGGTGATAATTGTAAAGTAAAGTTTGATGAATGTATTTGAAGTTGTACAAAACCATTCAGACAGAAATTTTTAAAAAATGAATTAAAAAACCCCTAATTTTTAAAATTACTTCTGGAATTGTGTAATCGAGTTTCTTTAATAGTATGAATTCCTGATGTGTTCTTTGGTCTAACCAAATTGTTGCTTTTTCTTTTCTAGATGAGCAAGAGATAGTCCAAAAACGCACTTTCACAAAATGGATCAACTCTCATCTGGCTAAGGTAAAGGAGAAACTCAGAGTTCTAAGTTCACTTTGAGACAATAAATAACTACAAGCACTGTCTAGAGGGATGCTATTATCTTTATTACTAATCAGTGACATTGACAATCTTATCAATTTAATTGTCACCAAACTGTGACATTTGTTAACAATGCTTCTGGGAACAAATAAATACAGTCAAGCTTACGTACCTCATGTCTGCAGCAGGTGATGGAACAAATATCTGAGCACATTTAGAGGATCCCTTTGCTGAGATACCTTCAGTGAGCAATGTTTGGTCAAGAACGTCCCCAACACTTTTTTACAGTTCAGAGCATGTGTCAGGGATGTAGCCCAATGGTATAACACATGCCTCACCTGTGTCAAGTCCTGCATTCAGTCACATACCCGCACTGTCTGTCTCTGTCTCTGTCTTGGTCTCTCTCTCACACTTTGTCTGTTTCTCTCATAAATTTACAGTTCAAAGTGTGGCAATCTGTTACCATTTAACTTATTAACTCTCTATTGACTTTCTATTTGAGACAAGATGGAAAGCAAAATACTTTCCTAGGACTGGAAAAGGTTGTATTCCAGCAGAGATGAGAACAGTTTGTCAGGATTCAGGACAAATTGAGGAGATTTCTCCCACAGTCTCTTTCCAACAGTCCTCTGGGGAGAAGGAAATTCTCTAAGTGACTGTACCCAAAATCTGCCCTTTGAAAAATTTAACAAATGCTTTTGGGGGCTCATTCTTAACATCTAGAAAAGTGTCACTAACCCTCTGTTTACATTATAGGATGACTAGCTATTGATAGAAGGGTTTATTTTCCCAAAAATGAAATATTTATTATTTATTTGTATTCAAAACATATTAAATGTCAATGTTAAGTTTTCATAACCTTATTACAGAGTAAAAAAATCGAAAACTATCTACATAATCTCAAAGGAACTACCCCTGACATATTGCTTACCACATTCTTCTTCACATCGACAAAAATAATTTATAAGATATTTTGCTGTCTTTTTTATACAGTGTATCTTCCCATGTCAGATACAGAGCTATGAAGTTATTTCAGTGGCTGAATAATATTTTCTTATTGTAAATAAAAATGTCATGTCAATTATAAGATATACATTAGCCCGGAACCTTCTCATGACCTTTTTAAGTGGGTTTTAATTGTTTCATATTATAAAAATATAGAGGGAGAGACCTTATGCACATATGTCTTTGGAGCAGCAGTGTGGATTTTTTCTTCTTAGGATAAATTACCAAAACTAGGTGGAATCAACATATAAACATTATTTAATATTTATTAAATAATTATTTAATTATTTAATTATCTAATTAATATCATTTTGTTTTTTGTTTGGAGACCATACCTGGTGATGCTCAGAGGTTACTCCTGGTGGTTCCTGGGGGACCATAACATGCCTGAGACAGAATCTAGGTTGTCCACGTGCAAGGCGAATGCCCTGCCAGCTGGACTATCTAGTCTATTGCCTGTTTATCATGCACTTTATGATGAGAAGGGCTTTAAAAAATTCTCTAACAATTTAAAGTGAATAGTATTTTTTGTTCTGGTGAAAGTGATTTGTAATTAATTTTTAATGTTTATTTTTAAATAGGGATTGAGTAGCAGTGAATTTTATCTTATTTTATTTTATTTTTTGCTTTTTTGGGTCACGTCCGGCGTTTCACAGGGGTTACTCCTGGCTCATGCACTCAGGAATTACTCTGGGAGGTGCTCAGGGGACCATATGGGATGCTGGGAATCGAACCCAGGTTGGCTGCTTGCAGTGCAAGTGCCCTACCCACTGTGCTTATCGCTCTAGCCCCCGTGATTTTATTTTAAAAGTAGGATTTCTGCACCTACTGGATACTTGAAGGAAAACTGAATGTGGGTCTCGTGTTACAGCCCAGGAAGGACCCTAGAGGCCCAGGCCTTTCATTTTCATATTTGCTTCTATCATGACCTGGAATTATCCCCCCTATTTGGGTGATAATTAGCTTGTATGTCCTTTCCTGCCCTCCTTCCCAGGCCTACCTGCTATTCCCATGCAGTTACCAGGGGCGGATTCTGGAGAGCAGCTCGGTCCTGTGGGAGGTCATTTCTGAGTACTAGTGGGTGGGTAGTCACTGCTGGTCACTGCTCCCCAAAGTCCAGTCCTCTGACCCAGGCCCGCCCCTGTCCCTCCTGCTTTAGCTGTGGTAGAGAGCTCTTCCAGAACCTTCTGTAGTGTCAGTGAAGCAGCTCTGAAATTACTTTGTACTATTCCTCTCTCTTGGGCTGGAGTGATAGCACAGCGGTAGGGCATTTGCCTTACAAGCGGCCAACATGGCTGACCCGAGTTCGATTCCTCTGCCCCTCTTGGAGAGCCCAACAAGCTACCGAGAGTATCTCGCCTGCACGGCAGAGCCTGGCAAGCTACCCGTGATGTATTCGATGTGCCAAACATAGTAACAAGTCTCACAATGGAGACATTACTGGGCCCGCTCGAAAAAACCGATGAACAACGGGAGGACGGTGACCGTGATTCCTCTCTCATCTTCTAACAACATGTAAAGTATTTCTGTGTATGTGTGGTTTGTTTTGCTTTTGGGGGGGCTCACACTCATAGCAGTGTGGATGTGTTAACTCCTTATCCAAGATTCCCCTCGGTGATGCTCAGGGGAGCATGATACGGTAGACACAGAACCGAGGCTCCAGCTTCGCAACTTGAGGCATCTTCCTGGACGAGTAGTTAAGTATTTCAGATATATATCAATTCTTAGATTTTTTTTCACAATTGCAAATGACTCCAGGCACAAAGATGGGTATCCTACAGAAGTGGTTAACAAAACAGTGAGAGCAAAAGATCTTGCTCTTCTGTTTCATTAGACCAGTAAAGATGTCCCATGGCAAAAAATGGAAATGATGATGAATTTTTGACAATGTACTTAGCACTTTGCTGGTTATTTGATACCATGCATCTCTGTTTGCCTGGTGGCTCTGAGATTTCGATCTAGATAAATCCCAAGTCCCTGGATGCTGGAAGGATACTCCAGTGGGGAAGGTGTTTACCTGGCATGTGGCTGACTAAGCACTACTCCTGGGATCCTATGTGGTTTCCCAATCTCTCCAGAAGTGACCCCTGAGCACAGAGCCAGGAGTTAGCCCTGAGTACTGCCGAGGGTGTGGCCCCCAAACAAACAAACAAACAAACAAACAAACAAAGGAACTTGAAATTCATAAGTTTTTTTCTACCTTGCACATATTTGTAGCATTGATACCATTGTGAATGATTCAGGAAATTATTCAGGGTATAGCTGCTTAATTGGATACAGAATATTTTGTTCTTTTCTTTCCTCCTTTGTGATTGTGATTCTGGTTCTTCCTCTCTTCATGGGTCATTTAGAAAATTGAAAATGGAAGCAAAAGAATGAGAATCTGTACTAGTCATCCTGTGCTTATTTCTACCACCGTTGAGGTATATTGTCAAAAAGCCAAGTCCCACAAATTCATGAGAGAATATTTTCCCTTTCCAATTCACCTTACATTTGAAAAAAATATCCTGAACATCAAATCTGACCCCATTATCCTGCCTTGGCAGTTAGGTTTCAGGATTGCTGTAGAGTCAGTTTATGTCTCTCTTTGTTTCAGAACTGATCACACAGTTCCCTCCTCTCTCTCCCATCTTTAGAGTTTCCATTTCCAGATCTTTTTTATCATATCCCTCCCACTTCACTTCCTTCCTTACCATCTCGCTCTCCCCATCCCACCTCCTCCTCCTCTGCCCTCGTCCTTACCCACTTTGTACTGTCAGCCTTAATCTCCCAACCTCATCTTAGATGCTTGTTATTGATAAGTACTTAATCCCTGAAAGCTACCTCATGTAATTTAATGTAAAGCTTGTATTTATAATAGCATTTCTGGGATATACTAGCATGAGTGAAACTTCTATTGTTAGCTATGTGCATCATCAGGTTTGTGATTTTCCTCCTAGATGGTCACAACAACTTACATTTTTACAAAGAAAATAAGATGCTTCCCCACATCCTTAAAATTTAGAACTTTCTCTCAGGTTATATATTTTAACTATGGTGTAGTCATAGGTTCATAAATAAGATATATTTATAGTCATAGGTTCATAGACTGTATTTTCTCTGATTATGTTTTATAAATTTTCCAATGCATATTTAAATTTTCCTTACTCTATGCATTTTAAAATATATTATTGTTTCAGTGTGGGGTGCTGACTGAGCCACATCCAGCAGTGCTTGGGGGTGACTCCCCCTTATGCTTGGGGGAGCTCCCAGTGGTTTTGAGGGGTGAGTGGAGGAGGGCGCAGTGTAGAGGTTAGGGCGTATGTCTAGCATAGGGTCAGTTCCCGCATCACATGGCCACCAGCACATGGGTGTGACATTACAGTGAGGGGTGTGGAACACTCCCTACCAGGGGACTAGCTCTTTAGCCCCAGATCTCTGCCTTTGGAAAACATTTATTGATGTTTAACTTATTTGTTAACAAGTGTTGATACTTCCGGTTTTTGTGTCGTGTACAGTGTCACTTCATCTCGCCACCAAAATATCCAAGAGTCTCCATTAATGCCCTTGTGTTCCTTCCTGTTCACCTCATTATTGTCCTCACTCACTAATCTGGAGACCCCTCCCGACCTGTGAACCTTCCCCCTCTCCTGCCAAATTGTATACACAGTTCTCTAATCCAGGCCCAGGGTGTGTCATCATTTGAAATCGTCTCTACCCTTGGTTTGTTTCTCTATCTACTACGTATGAATGAGGTTGTTCCCTTTCTTTATAGGGAAACTTGGTGAATCAAAATTTATACTGGATAATAGAAGAAAATGTTAGTAAATTAAGGAATCTGTTTATGAAAATTAAATTTTCTTTCATTTTTATTTTCAGTAAGACACCATAGTACATTTGTGCCACAAATATAGTTTCAATTATTGCATGCCCTGAATATTCTATATTCTGCCCAAATAGCCTATAGAGTTCTCAATTCATGCTGTGTAGTTGAAGTA